TGTCCTGTAACTGGACTGACTTCTGCACCGGTGATAGTCCTAAATTTCCCTCTAAAGCTTGGCGTCTGTGTGGTCTGTTTAGTAAAGTTTTGGGCTTTTAAATAGACCCATCACTGAACCATCTTTTTTCTAGGGGATTTCTCTTAAACCATGGTGGTTTAAACCACCTGCTGGGGCAGTGCTACTCAGCTGGGGCTGGGGACCAGTGAGGTAAGCACAGAACTGGAAAGTGTTTATAAGCTTTAACAGCTATTTTAAAGAGTAACTTCATGTCTGTTCGACCAAATTGGTACTTGTATTTAATGTATCTTTTTTTCACTTCCTTTTTCTCTTAGTTTTTATAGTGTTTTGCGTGAGAGACTACATAGGCAAAGATAATGGTCTGACCATATATAAAAACAGAACTCCAATCCACAGACTGCAACGACATGCCCAGAAAATCAGCCCCTCATCTACCACATCCAACCCAGGAAGCCAGCGTGCTACAGTCAGACTTGCAGAAAGCTAGACTGATGTCTCTAGTAACAATCCAGGAAGCTGAAAAGTAACTTCTGTAACAATTTGCCCCAAATGGCCAGAGCTTGATTAATATCTGATAGCTTCCCTAATTTTTGTCCTTGCTTCTGATTTAGGACCAACCAGAAAAAGTCAAATATACTCTCTTTACCAATCCCCTGGGATGACTGAACTCCAACCTTTTTTCTTTTGCCCAAATTCCTTTCTAAGACGCCTGGTGAGTCATGCCTAAAAACAATAAAATCCCACTAAACGGGTTTTATTAACCCAATATTATGCAGTTTACTTCCCAACCTGATTCCTAGCATCCCATAAGAGATAGAAGACCCCTTATCTTAACTCAGGCATCCCTTTCTACTGACTCCAGATCTTTAGACAAAGCTTTAATTCTTGCAACCAACCGCCAACTAAAGAATCCCTAAAACCCAACTATGACTTATAAACTTCTGCTTCGAGATATCCTGCCTTTTCAACCAATGTACACTTTCCACGAATTAATTTATGATTTTACCTATAATTCCTGTCCCTATGAATGCATAAAACCAAACTCTAATAAGGCCACCTCAGGCGCAGTTTCTTAAGACCTCTTGAGAACTTGTCCGTCTCCGCACCCCCCACCCCGGGCGTGGTCAGTCGCACACATACATTCGGCTTAGAACAAACCTCTTTAAATTACTTTAGAGTTCGGATTTTTTTTCTTTGACACCCAGGACAAAGTTAGCAGCCTCCAGCTTCCCCACCCGCAGCCCCATCGGCGCACAGCTGGAGCCTCTCCGTGTTCCACTCTAAAGCTTCCCCTCTCCTGCGCCTGCCTTTGAGTCGCTGCCAAAATGCAAGTTGTGGAGGTTGACTCCCTGCTGCAGCAAGATCTGAATAAATAGCCTTTGCTTTTTCCCTTTGGATGGCCTTCACTTATTTCCACCTACCCACGGGGGATTAAAAAAGAAAATAAAAGCAAAGTCCGGGTCCTCCACCAGAGGTAGCTTGAGAAGTACTGCCCCACGCCTTGGCGGTGCCTGCAAGGAGGAACCCCGAGGGCGGGAGAAAGTAGAGCATCCCAGGGGCGCACCACCAGGACTGCGGGGGGTAAGTGGTCACGACATTCTGTAGACCAGGAATGGGTTTGGGGGGAACGATGGGGACCGGTGCTGGGGGCGCGGTGCATGGAAAAAATCAGCCTTGCGGCTGGAGAAACTAGTCCCAGAGCGCGGCCTGCGGTTTCCCAGGTCGGGTTCTCAGCGCCCAAGGCCTTACGGCCCGGGGTGTGGGTGGAGCTTCTGCGCACGCCCTCTGCGCACGCGCTCGCTCGCCCTAGAGCTGACGTCATGTCCGGCGGCTCCTGGGGCAGCGGCGGCCGGGTTTTGTCTCCCCGGCCAGCTGGGCGCAGTAGGGTGTCCTGCGTCCTCCCTCCCGCCTGGAGGAGCCGCCCTCGCGCGGTCGCCCCTCCACGGCGCCCGCCTGCCCGCCGGTCGGTCGGCGCACCGGGCCTGGTTTCTTCTGCCTCCCCCGGACCGCTTAGTCTCGACCCGGGTGTGTTTCCACTGCTAGAGGTGAAGCATACACGATAAGGAGAAGGGGACCTGGGGTCTTGGACCAAGGTGTTTTTACTTTTCCCATCAAGTGGACGCTCATGGGTGGGAGATAGAATTTACAGTATTTCCTCCTGGAGGACTCCTTTGCCATAATGGTGCAATCTGAGTATCTTTAGACGACAGGGACCGTATTGCTGTGCAGATGTTTGGATGCTTTTAAAAAAATTCCCGAAGTCGTTTTGCGTTTTAATGCTTCAAAAAAATTGTTTTTAAACATCTGGTCCTGAAAGCTCAGCGCCCTTAAAAATTCCTTTTCCTGAACGAATCCTAATCTTTACTGTGACTGAATTGGTTCAGAGGATGTCTTTTCAATAAGGAAACAACCCTCCCCTGGTCATTGGGGACGGCTTGGGAATTTTTAATACCTGAGAATTTACTCTCTTTTGCACTGACACTAAGCATTTGTGTGAGGCGGTGCAATAGTACTTTTGGGAAAATGCGTTACATCTTTTCTGTTCTTGAAATGCCATCATCTTTTCTTGATTTTCAGTCAATATTCTAAGGTTATTGTGAAAGAATCTGAGACCACTGAGCTTTTTGAATTCTCATGCCAAATTTTAAATCGTATTCCTGCCTTCAACTGTGTGTTGACACTGTCAACCCGCTATATTCATTACCCTCTTCTGGTTATTATTGAATGCCATTTATCTGTTGTGGGTTTTGAATTTTGACAACTACGTTTGATAGAACTGTGTTTAAAGTGAAAAATAAGTGAAGAACTTGTGGCTTTTTACTTTTATATAACTTAATTTTTCATCTTACAAAATGCCCATTTTAGAAAACACAAAAAAGCAAAAGAAAAAAGAGTATCTGGAGTCCTACTACCTAAAGATAACCATTGCTAACATTTTGGAATATGGTTTTAATTTTTTAATGCATAATTGTAAAAACAAAAAGAATCGTAGTGTATACTGTTTTGTAACCCCCTTTGCATGACATTTTTTTGCATTGCTTCCCATTTCTTTCTCTCTTTTCTTTTCTTTACACATTTATAATGACTACAGAATTCCATTGTGCCTGACACCATCATAAGCAAAGTAGGAATCCTAATGTATAAACCTTGTGGCATCTATTTGAGCAGCTCAGAGGACTTTTGACTTGGTTTTGGGCCAAGGTGCATAGATGAAGTAGTTCTAGAGTTGTGTAAAAGGAGCGATTTAATATTGAGTCCTATAAAGGCAGACGGTTTATTAGGCATATCACATTTATTGAAAAAGCAGAAAAAATCATTGAAAATGTTTCTAATTCTTTATTTTTTGTTTCTAGGCTCACTTTTTCCCACTTCTCTCCCTTTCTCTCTCCCTTTTCCCTCCAAGAATGAAACATGACTGAGGACTCTCAGAGAAACTTTCGTTCAGTATATTACGAGAAAGTGGGGTTTCGTGGAGTTGAAGAAAAGAAATCATTAGAAATTCTCCTGAAAGACGATCGCCTGGGTGAGTTTTATAAGTTTAATTGAGCTCATTGCTTCTCAGTCATCTTGGATGTTCTGGAGTAAATATCACCTTAAGAGACATCCAGAGGTATTTGTTACTTGCTATATTTTTTAGGGTTAGGATGACAGCAGAATGGTATATTTTGAGAAAAGTTACAGATTTTCAAATTTATATTTCACTGAGAGTCAGAAGTTTTTGAAAGGCCTCTTAAGAAGTGAGTAGTATTTTTTATTAAGCCCATATTTTTTTTTCTCTATTTCCAGATGTGTCATTATAGCTTCTTAGTAAACTTGCAATAACTCTGGTCATGATTTTCTTTATGGAAATACTAAGACTGCATTGTATATTGATATTTTAGTTTATTTTAAGCCAGAAAGAGTAAGGTCTGTTGTTAAACAAAGTAATATAAACTGAACCATAGTTTAAAATAATACTTTATTTGCATAGAATGCTTTTAAAGTTTCAAAAACGTTTCCCCCCGATCTTTTTTTTTTTTTTTTTTGAGACGGAGTCTCACTGTGTTGCCCAGGCTAGAGTGAGTGCCGTGGCGTTAGCCTAGCTCATAGCAACCTCAAACTCCTGGGCTCAAGCAATCCTACTGCCTCTGCCTCCCGAGTAGCTGGGACTACGGGCATGCGCCACCATTCCCGGCTAATTTTTTCTATATATTTTTAGTTGTCCAGATAATTTCTTTCTAATTTTAGTAGAGACAGGGTCTCACTCTTGCTCAGGCTGGTCTCGAACTCCTGAGCTCAAACAATCCGCCCGCCTCGGCCTCCCAGAGTGCTAGGATTACAAGCGTGAGCCACCACGCCCGGCCTCCCCCCCCCCCCGATCTTTGATCCTCACTCTATAGTCTATGCTTAGTATGTCTTGTATTATTATTCTCCTTTGGTAAGTAGAGGCATTGAGGATCAGGGAACTAAGTGTAATTTACTGGAAAATGTGGGGATTTGAGGGCTGACTGCCACTTCCTAGCTATTTTGACTTGGTCAAGTCATTTAAGTGCTTTAAGCTTCAGTTTCTGCGTCTTTAGAACAGTAACTACCCAACAGGCTTGCAATGTAGATTAAGTGAAATAAATCCTATAGTAACTACTGCTAATGTTACAGGGAATGTATGTAGAAATGCACGCAAATTCCATATTCTATGTCGTAAAATATTAATTGTTTTTAAATAACTTGGTTGGCAGTATACCTGGGCTACAAATCATATTAGTATTGCCTTTCCTTAGTTTGCTGACCATAAGGTAGACTTCCCCTGAAGAAATGTCTTATCTATACTTTCAGTTTTAAGAAATGAAATGCACTTTTACATACTGTGATCAGCATGAAAAGCTTCTAATTGTTTTTTTCTTTCTCTAGATACTGAGAAACTTTGTACTTTTAGTCAGAGGTTCCCTCTCCCGTCCATGTACCGTGCATTGGTATGGAAGGTGCTTTTAGGTATGAGACCCAGGAGTTGAAAGATTTATCTTCAAAAATATTGAATAAGAGGATCATTTGTCATCTTATCAGTCAGAAAAAAGGAAGATTTGTTTAGGCCCTTTACTGAATATTGGGTCTTCCTCAGGTGACTCAATTTCTGCTCACTTTGAAATCCTTTAAGAAGCTGACTTCAGCAGCAGTTTATTAAGTATTCTCATAGAGGTATTAGTGTATTAATGATAGAAGAGGAAATAACGTATGTTCCTCAGACAAGGTGTGGGAAGAGCATTGGACTGGGAGAAAGGAGAACTGGTCTAGGCTTTGCCATCAGCTGGGTAACCTGGAGGAAGACCCCTCTAGGGCTCATTTTTTGCATGTATAGGATGAGGCTATTGAGCTAAATTACTCCTAGGTTTTAGCCCTAAATTTGTAAGATTTTGTGATTCTCGGTTGTAGAGGTATAACTTCCTAATGAGTGCTATCAGAGTCAAAAAGGAATTGGAGCGTTTTTACTCCCCAGAAGTGTGAATAAATAAATTCCAGTGGCGAGATGGTGGACCTCATTTTCTGAATGAGGAGGAAAACTGATCTTGTTTAGTTTCTATGGAAGAAAAAGTGAGTCAGGTGCCACAGGTAACTGGCAGCATCTCTTTTGAGCCCAAGATTTTTCTTCCCTATCATTACTGAGCCTGTTGAAGCATGTAATGCCAATCCATTACCACCCTCCTTTACCATCTTAAATTTTTTAAAAAGTTAGCTGTAGGATAGTGATGAGGATGAAACTCTATGAGGAATGTGAACTACTACTGCTGTTTTTTGGGCATCCTTGTGTGCCTGTCACTAGGCTGAGAAGTTTACATTAATTATATAGAGTAATCCTAGAATTGCCCCGTGAGGTAGGTATCCATATGCTAATTTTACAGATGGGGAAAAAGACTCTGTGAAGCTAAGTAACTTGCCTAAGGCCTTATAGCCCCTAAGAGGCAGATCTAGGATTTCAGCATTAAGTTGTAGAATTCATTTGAAGGTAGGATAGATTGTGGACCTCATTTTCTTTCCAAAATGTAGTATGTTTCAGGACTTGAGAAGTTTGCAGTTCTGAATCTGATTATGTTTTATAATATGGAGGCACTAAGGGACAACAATCTGTACTAGAAAGCACTGCACAATGGCTGTTTTATTGTGCATCTTGGCATTCCCCGTGCACTTACAATTCAGAGAAGTGTTGACAACTGTTTTAGTTTTTCCCAGGGCATTTTTTTCTTAAATCTTACTGTTTTCAGTAGCCATCAAAATAAATGCCTTCCAGGGATGCATTTTACGTGGTAATGTCAACAGCGTCCATTCCTGCTGGGAAGTACTGTGTCTTATTAATAACTCCAGTGGATTAGCGGGCGATGTGCAGTTGTGCTTTGCGGCACCTCCTGAGTGCTAAGGCCTGTCTGTCTTGTTCATCACCTCTATTTTTCTTACCTTTTTTTTTTTTTTTATCACATAAGTTGTCATTATTTTTTGAGGTAGTTATAAGGCACTGGAAATTTATAGCTGTCACACTGTGTGGTATACAGCCTGACTCTTTTTAGCACAGGTTTTCGATTACTAAGAAATGTCTGCTTCCTGATACCGTTTTAGGTGAATATCAGAAAGGGACTTTTTAGCACCTGCTCTTAGAGAACAGGTTTACAGTTTAACAAGGGAAGCAGTACACTGCCTCTAGTAGTATGATGCAAGTTCAGCCACAGCCATTAAATCTGTATTAGCCCCGATGCAGAAGACACTTCAGTGGTTCCCTTGGCTTTTCTGGAAGCCTGGCGCACAGCCCATAGCTAAGGTGAGTGAGATTTATGTCAGGAAGAAGAACATTTAAGCAAGTGTTGATTCTAAAATTAATGTGGCATCATGTTAGCTAGAGACTTTTGAGCTCATCTGTTGTTTCCCAGGGTGTTCTTTAGAATACTGGATCTGTGGTGTTTTACACCAAAGAGGGATTCATAGTCAAATGTACTAGCTACCACTTACATTAATACTAGTGTAGTGCATGCAGGCACTCTTCTGAGGGCTTTGTGTATATTGATTTGTTTACTCATCACAACAGCTGTGTAAGAGTAGGTTATTATTCCCATTTTTCAGATGGGGAAGGTGACACATAGGGAGATCAGCTAAATTGCTAAAGGTCACCCAGCCTGTTAGTTGTAGAGCTAGAATTGAAACCCAGGACCTTTGCTCCAGAGTCTGTCTGCCTCCACAACCTCATTAAGCTAAATGAGGCTGGAGTAAATAAAGTAAAATGTTTTTCTTTATAGCATAACTTAGAGCCTTGAAAATTCATTATCACCATTTCCCAAATCTATTTGACCATGCTATCCTTTTCTCATGGAGACTCTTGGGGCTAGCATTCTGCAGAGAACATTTAGTGAAATCCTTGTCTCTCCCATTTCCTGCCTCTGTCATCTGAGGAAACTTGTGTCCAGAGAGACTAACATATTTGTGAGAGCCCTGGTATTATCAGCTTTGAGCCTAGAGCCCAGGGTTACTGACAGCCTGTCCAGTGGTCTTTCCACTATGTTTTCTGAAAGCCACTTGTTTGTAAAAACGATGTGACACCATATTTAAATGGATTAATGAGCTTAAAATGTAATAGAAATGTCACGTACAGTGAGTGACTTCATCAGTGAATATTAGAGACTTCTGTGGCCATGAGGATAGGATACTTTGTGAGCAAGTTTTAGCTGTCGGGAAAGAGAAGTAGGGGCCACGTGCAAAGACTAGAGGCCTGAGGCTGACAGCCATAAATTGAGTTAAGCCATTATTATAATTGATGCAGTTATTATCTTGAATGTACATGGCATACTCATTCAAGGGTTTTTGTGATGCCACTTCATTCCTCTTTAATATCAATGATGTATCACCATTCAAATATTGATAGTATTGAACATTTAAGATTGCTTTATAGTAAGCATTTCTAAAAGAGACTCTATGGTAATTAAATATTTGTGTGAATTCTAATCTAATTGTGATGGGCTGTTTCTCACAGGAGTCTCTTTAATAGAGGAGGGATTGATGTTGCAGTTTTTTTGCCGTTTTTTCCCCTGGTTCTCTAGGGATCCTGCCTCCTCACCACGAATCCCATGCCAAGGTGATGACGTATCGGAAGGACCAGTACTCTGATGTGCTTCATGCTCTGAAAGTCATTCGCTTTGTCAGTGATGCCACACCCCAGGTCGAAGTCTATCTCCGGATGTATCAGCTGGAGTCTGGGAAGTTACCTCGAAGTCCCTCTTTTCCACTGGTTAGTGGTCGCTTTTGCTTGACACTTAGCTCACGTCTTGACTGCGCCATCTCGCCGGGCTTTGATTCCATCATGTTTTACTGTAGAAACGTTGGTGACTCTCCATCATCAATGGACTAGAAGCAGTGCGTCTCTACCTGGCATCCATGGCCTGCAGTCTTTTTTTTTTTTTTTAATTTTCCAACTTATTTTTAATTCATACATAATGTTAATAATTGGGTATATTTATGGGTTACAATATGATGTTTTGATCTGTGTATACATTGTAGAATAAGTCAGTCAAGCTAATGACCATAGGCATCACCTCACCAACGTATGTTTTTGTGGTGAGAACATCAAATATCCCTGATTTTACCAACTTTAAAATATACAGTACAACTTTATTTTTAAAATGCAGTTGCCTTGCTTTAGGTTGCCTTTGATGTATCATTTCTGAAAAATCAGTATCTCCCCATTTCAGAGGGGAGTCACCTTTGCATGCCCTTAAGCAAGGATATTGTTGGGGATGTTGTGTTTTTTGTGTTTATTTCGGGTACTTCTTTGTTCTGAGAACTGGGAAGCTAACAATGTTCATTTGAAAAATCCAGTTACTATAACTTTTATTTTGTTTTTATTCTCTTAAAAATAGTGTAATGTTTTTTTGACTTACTTTGAATTTATTTGCTCTTCTTTTTCTGGGTTCCAAAGATCGAAACTTAGATGATTAGTTTTAGATCTTCCATCTTCTCCTATGTACGCATTCAGTGCTATACATTTCCCTCTAAGCTCTCCTTTCTTTGCATCCCACAAATCTTGATAAGTTGTGTTTTCATTTTCATTTAATTTGAAATGTTTTAAAAGTTTCTCTTGAAATTTTAAATGTCTTCTTTGACCCATATGTTATTTAGAAGTGTGTTGCTTAATCCCCGTGCATTCTGGGATTTCCCAGTTATCTTTTGATTTCTAGTTTAATACCACTGTGGTCTAAGAGCTGACATTGTAAGATTTCCATTCTTTGAAACTTGTTACGGTATTTTTTTTTTTTTTTTAGAGATGGGGTCTTGCTGTGTTGCCCAGGCTGGTCTCAAACTCTGGGCCTCAAGTGATCCCTTCACTTCGGCCTCATAAAGGGCCCCTTGCATTCTGACCCAATCTATCTTATTTTTTGTTTTTTAAAAAGTTTAAAAATTTCAAACTTGCAGAAAAGTTGCAAGAATATTACCAAGAATTCCCATGTACCCTTTACCCAGATTTTCCCAATTGTTAACATTTTATGATATTTGCTTTGTCATTTTTCCTATATATGTACACATTTTTTTTTTCTAAAAAAGAATAAGATGCCCCATTACCTCAGATTCTTTCAGTGTATACTTCCTGCAATAAGGACACCCCTGCGGGTAACCACAGAACAGTCATCAAAACCAAGAATATTGATACAATATTAACATCTAATCTGTAGGTTCCATTCAGATTTGATCAGTTGTCCCAATAATGCTCTTTATCACAAATAAATAATCCAAGTTCTAGGTGAGGGTTTGATCCTGGATTAGGTATTGCATTGAGTTATCAGGTTGCTTTAGTCTCCTTTACTCTGGGACCATTCATCTATCTGTTATCTTTCATGCCCTTGACATTTTTGAGGGGTGTTAGTTTTTGTAGAAAGCCTCTCAGTTTAGGTTCTCCTGGTGCTTCCTCCTGATAGGATCCAGGTTATTCATTTTGGGCAGGGGTACCGCATAGGCGATGCTGTGTTCTTCTCAGTGTATCGTATCAGGAGGCACATAGTGTGGATTTGTCCCATAAGAAGTAATGTTAGCTTTGATCACTTGGTGAGGGTGGTGTCTGCTGGGGTTTTCCACTGGAAAGTTATTCTTTTTCCCTTTGTGGGGACACACTTTAAGACTGCTGTGTAAATATTCTATTCCTCATTAAACTTTTACCCATGAGTTTTACCATTTGATGATTTCTAAAAAATTTTTATGTTTTAACTTTTCATTTTTAAATAATCTTGAACATAGAAAAAGGTTGCAGGGCTGGGCACAGTGGCTCACGCCTATAATCCTAGCACTTTGGGAGGCAGAGGTGGGAGGATTGCTTGAGGCCAGGAGTTTGAGACCAGCCTGGGCAACATAATGAGATGCTGTCTCTATAAAAAATAGAAAAACTGGCCGGGCGCGGTGGCTCACACCTGTAATCCTAGCTCTCTGGGAGGCCGAGGCGGGCGGATTATTTGAGCTCAGGGCGAGACCCCGCCTCTACTAAAATTAGAAAGAAATTAATTGGCCAGCTAAAAATACATAGAAAAAATTAGCCGGGCATGGTGGCACATGCCTGTAGTCCCAGCTACTCGGGAGGCTGAGGCAGAAGGATTGCTTGAGCCCAGGAGTTTGAGGTTGCTGTGAGCTAGGCTGACGCCATGGCACTCACTCTAGCCCGGGCAAAAAAGAGTGAGACTCTGTCTCAAAAAAAAAAAAAATAGAAAAACTAGCCATGTGTGGTATAGTATGTGCCTGTAGTCCCAGCTACTTGGGAGGCTGAGGCAGGAGGATCGCTTGAGCCCAGGAGTTCGAGGCTGCAGTGAGCTATGATTGTGCAACTGCACTCCAAGGAAAAAAAAAATAGACAAAATTTGCAAAAATAGTTCAGCATTCCTATCTATTTTCACCCAGCATCCTCAAATGTTACATCTTACTTAACCATAGTATAATGATTAAAACCAGAAAATTAGCCTTGATAGAATACTAAGAACTAATCTTTAGACCTCGTTGGAAATTTGCTGACGTCCCACTGATGCCTTTCTTCTGATCCAGAATCTAATCCCATATCACACGTTACATTTAGTTACTGTGTCTTAGTCTTCTTTAATCTGGAACAGTTCGTCCTTCTTTGTCTTTTATGACCTTGATACTTTTGAAGAGTGCTGGCTAGACAAACCATTTGGGTTTGTCTGATACTTCCTTATTGATTAAAATCTGGTCATGCATTATTGGCAAGAATACCATGGAAGTATGATGCTCATTACTGTTGCTGCTAACTTTGATCACTTGGTTAAGGTGGTGTCTGCTGGGTTTCTCCACTGTTAAGATTACTATTTTCCTCTTTGTGATTAATAAGTAACTTGTGGGGAGGTACTTTGAGACTTATAAATATCCATCCACTAATGACTCTTGCCTGAAACAATTTTTTACTATGCTAGTTGCCAAGTGGTGATTTTCTAACTCCTTCATTCCTTCTGCATTTGTTACTTGGCATTCTTCTGTAAGGAAGAGTTTTCCCTTCTCGCTCATTTATTGATTTATATCAGTATGAGTCTATGGATTTCTTTTTTATTCAGTGGCCTATAATTCATTACTACCATTATTTCTTTTGATGTACAGATTGTTCCAGATTTGGCCAATGGGGGCCCCTTCCAGGTGATGCCTGTGTCTTTTTGACAAGTTCCTATCATTTTGAATGTTTTTCTAACTTTCTGGCACAAGATGGTTCAGGCTCATCCTGCACTTTCCGTACTGCAGCCCTGGAATCAGCCATTTATTTTTGGAATGGAGCGTGGTTTCTAGAACCCAGAACCGGGCACTAGATATGCTCATTGTTCACGGGCTGTCATTACCTCTAGGTTCTCTTGGCAGGTAGAGCTGGGAAATATATGTATGTATACGTACACATCTGTATATGTTTATGTATCGATTTATCTCTGTGTACTGTAAACCCTGAGTTCACACTAATTACTCCAGTTCCAATCCGGTATCCCAAGTTCATTCTAGCCTACACCCTTTCCACATTTACAGTTCCCTTCTCTGTCAGTTGTAAATGTAAAAAGGCTCCCGTTATCCTCAGTCCATTCACTTCTTTGCTCATTCCTGTGTGTAACCAGCACTGCCAGCCATCTCTGGCCTGGTCCTGCAGGCCCACCTGGTCTCCTTGTGGTCCCAGGCCACGGCTCAGCCCTGACCTCTCTTCATCTTCAGCTTCCCTCGGCCTTAGCTTCCTCCTCTGCCTCAGCCCCCAGGCCTCAAGCTGCTTTTTTAACTTCATCATTAGCAAACTCCTCACTCTAGTTACTTGGACTACTTATTGCTTGTAAGGGGAAAAAAGGGGGACAAGGAGGAGGTCAGGCAAAGAAACAATTATAGCTCTCGGGCTTTGGACATTTTATTGCAATTCTCTCTAGATATTTTAATAAAGGTTTTATTTGGTTAAAACAGTGAATTGTTCAAACATGGATTTGCTTGAAAACTTTGCTATTCTACAAAATTATTTTATTGCACATTTGGCATTAACTTATTCTTTTGTGTTTTTGTTTCTTTAAGTTAATGATGTGGTACCCATGGACCTTCAAGAGAACTTACAGATAATAAAGGCCATCCGCTTTTGTTAAGTCTATCAAGAGAGAGAAGGTCCCTAAAAAATAATTGGAATAATTTAAACAATCCCCTTTAAATTTCGCTTATCATTGGCAAAGTGAAGTTAAACAAGTTCTTAAATTACGTGTTAAATTAGGTTGGATAATCTGTTGGTTCAGGAAATCTAAATGGTAGGTGATAGCTTCCGCCTTACCCCCGACCCAGTGTGTTCATGCTCTAAGGCAGACACCTTTACTGCAGTGTCGGGCAGACATGCTGTCTGGGTGTTTGCTTGGGCTCTGCCACTGCGTGTCTGCCCAGTCACCAAGTCCCATTGTATTAGTTTGTTTTCAGTTGTTTATGACAGAATATCTGAAACTGGGCAATTTATAAAGAAAAAGATTTATTTCATAAGATTCTGGAGGCTGAGAAGTACAAGGTCAAGGGGGCTGCATCTGGTAAGAGCCTTCTTGCTGGTGGGGACTCTCTACAGCTGTGCTCCCCAGTCCCTGGGCCGAGGACCGGTACTGGCCTGTGGCCTGTTAGCAACCAGGCCGCACAGCGGGAGGTGAGCAGCGGGCAGGCGAGCGAAGCTTCATCTGTGCTTAAAGCCGTTCCCCATCGCTCGCATCACTGTCTGAGCTCCGCCTCCTGTCAGCTCAGCGGCAGCATTAGAGTCTGCATTATAGTGAGTCATATAATTATTTCATCATATATTACAGTGTGATAATAATAGAAATAAAGCGCACAATAAATGTAAGGCACTTGAATCATCTCGAAACCACCCCCACCCCTGTCTGTAGAAAAATTGTCTTCCATGAAACTGGTCCCTGGTGCCAAAAAGGTTGGGGACTGCTGCTCTGTGGAATCCCGAGGTGTTGGAGGGCATCACATGTCAAGGGGCGCAAGCGTGCTAACATGCCAGCTCAGGTCTCTCTTTCTCTCCTACAAAGCCATTAGTTCCCCTCCCATGATAGCTCATTAATCCATTAACCCATTAATCCATGAGTGGATTAATCCATTCATGAAGACAGAGCCCTCATGACCAAATCACCTATTAAAGGCCCCACCTCTCGATACTGCCACACTGAGGATTAAATTTCCATGAGTTTTGGAGGAGATAAGCATTCACACCATAGCACCCACTTAGCCTCAGATTTTTTTTTATCTGTTAATAAGAGTGTGTGGCAGTGCTCGGCACAGGGCCAGGAAGGTAGAGGCTGAAGGACAGGGTCCTCTTCCCTTGACCTGTCAGAGTGGCCCAGAGCAGTCAGTGACATGCCACATTCAGGGACACTGAGCACACTGTCCAGTACTGTGTGGGAGTCCAAGTAAAGAGACTTTACTTTCCCTTTTCTTCCTACGTTTCTTATTTTCTGTCCTTCTCTGATACATTAATAAAATGCTTAGAGAAATTTACTTTCTGCGATTCTAACTCTGTTATTCTTGACATTTCATAGAATATATTATTAATATAAATAACAAGTTGAAAGAAGGCCTGAGAATGAAATACTTTTTATTACAATAGGAATTTTGAATTCACTTGAGACTTTTTAGGGGAATAGAAAAATACTTCTTAAGTTTGTTTCTTTTTAACATTAAGATCTTTCAGCTATTAAATTGTAGTTGAAAATGTAAATCATTTTGTATGTGATATGGTGTTTCAAAACAAAATAGATTTTCAGATAAGGTTCCAGTTTACATAAGATTTTTCTGTTGAAATTTGTTCGAGGGTTTACTTTCACATTCTTAGTATTGACACAAGGTTTGAGAGATGCCATTCTTTTGATTCCTTAAATTCTGATTCTAGGGACATTTTAACTTTTTAGGTGCTAAAGAATAGAACAGCATTCTAACGGTATGCATGAATGCTTTGAAATTTGGAGTCCTTCAGTATTTGCAAATTACAATACTGACAAATGTCACCAATTACTGTTTATTATGTCCTTTTGAAAGAAATTCTCATCTAGCCCTGAGGATATTTTTGGGTAGCGAGAGTCAGTGCCTTTGCTTGTGATTTATGTTGGCTCTCTGATGGGCTGCATGTTAGAAGTTAGAGAGTCTCTGCGTGGTCAGCCTGAAACCTAGTCATCCATAGGCAACACTGATTCTAGTTACTCATCCTTATCTCTCCCTTGCTCTCCTCTTTAGTGAGGGACTCTGTGCCTTTTGATCTCACTTTGATTTATTAATACAGCCTTTGCAAAATTTAGGGGGCAAGATTTCATTTTTTATTGAAGAAATATGTATTCCTCTCTTCTACAGCATTCATCTTGAGATTTATTATTAATCTTTCAGGAGCCAGAAGATGAAGTATTTCTTGCCATTGCTAAAGCCATGGAAGAGATGGTGGAAGATTGTGTTGACTGTTACTGGATCATCCGATGCTTTGTGAACCAATTAAATACCAAGTACCGGGATTTTTTACCCCAGCTGGTGAGGGATTGTAGTTTTTTTGGTTTTTTTTTTTTTTTTTTGGCTATTGGGGAGTGAGCAGTGGTATTGTGGGTCTTCAGGGAATACTCTTGCCTCTTGGTGCTGCACCAATTATGAGTGGACCCTCTATAGTAGAGCTCCATGAATGTTTTCTGTAAAAGGCCACATAGTAAATATTTCCTGCTTGTTGGGCCAGGTGATCTCTATTGCAGCCACTCAGCTCTGCTGTTGCAGCACAAAGGCAACCATTGACAATGCGCAATAGGATGGCCATGGCTGGATTCGCAGTGCTGCAGGCCAGTTTGCCGGCTCTGTTCTATAGTATTCCTTATCCTGGTCTAGAGTCCACTGGCTCTATCTAGAATTATCCCTCTGTGTTAGTTAAGGTTTAAGTTTGCATATAATGGAAAGCCCAAATAACAGAAACTTTGTTTTCTCCCATATAACCAGAAGCCAGAAGGTAAGGCAGTCCAGAGCTGGTGCTGCAGCGCCATGGTGTGGACAGTGCTCCAGACTCCTGTCATTTTGCTCCGGTATTCTTAGGCATGATCCTTCCTCTCATGCTCGCAAGGTGGCTGTTGGATCAACAGCCATGACATTTGTGTTCTGGGCGGGAGGGAAAGGAAGGGCAGAGGTAGAAGCGATGGAGTAAAGGGGACAAGCCAGTCAAGTCTGTCACCCTTTAGCAGGCTTTCCTTCTGCATGCACAGCTGAGCGTCGAACAACACAGGGGTTAGGGGTACCCATCTCTTACGTAGTCAAAAGTCCTCATATAACTTTTGACTCTCCTAAAACTTTACTAATAGCTTACTGTTGACTGGAAGCCTTACCAGTGATGCAAAAGTTGATTAACACGTATTTCATATGTTATATATAATATTAAATATATACTATTTTCTTAAAGTAAGCTAGAGAAAAGAAAATGTCTTTAAGAAAATCATAAGGAAGAGAAAATATATTTTCTGTTCATTAAGTGGACGTGGATCATCATAAAGATCTTCCACCTTGACGTCTTCACGTTGAGTAGACTGAGGAGGAGGAGGAAGAAGAGGGGTTGGTCTTCCTGTCTCAGGGTGGCAGAGGCGGAAGAAAATCCACATTTAAGTGGACCTACATAGTTCAAACCTGTGTTGTTCAAGGGTCAACTGTGTATTAGTGGCCAGGACTGTGTCACCTGGTCACCCCATCTGTAGTGGAGGCTGGAAGGCTTTTTTTTTTTAAAGCCTGGCACATTGTGATCTGCTATTAAAGCAGGGATTCTGTAAGTGAAGAAGGAAGGACACATGGATTTGAGGCAGGCAGCCGCTGTCTCTGCCATGCCCTGGCTTGGAAATCCAGAGAACTGAATGGCACTTCATAGCATAAGCCAGTCTTCCTTTGCCATTCTCTTTTTTTCCAGTTTTTTCCCTTATCTCATTTATAACAATGAATCTGTCTTTTTTCTTAAATTATTGAGTTGTTTCATTTGAAAATTCTACTGAAAGTGGTAACTGGTACAGGGTGCAGGGTCAGATGGGGGGCAGTGGTGACGGTTGGCTGCGCGCTGAGGATCACTGCTCTGCCCATGACAGTTACCAATAGGGCAATGGGCAAGACCCTTCAGCTTCATAAAAGAACACCTACGAGAGTAGTTTTTATATATTTCAAATAAATAAAATTTGATTTTTAGGGCCGGGCGCGGTGGCTCACGCCTGTAATCCTAGCTCTCTGGGAGGCCGAGGCGGGTGGATTGTTTGAGCTCAGGAGTTCGAGACCACCCTGAGCAAGAGCGAGACCCCGTCTCTACTAAAATTAGAAAGAAATTAATTGGACAACTAAAAATATATAGAAAAAATTAGCCGGGCATGGTGGTGTGTGCCTGTAGTCCCAGCTACTCGGGAGGCTGAGGCAGGAGGATCGCTTGAGCCCAGGAGTTTGAGGTTGCTGTGAGCTAGGCTGACACCACGGCACTCACTCTAGCCTGGGCAACACAGTGAGACTCTGTCTCAAAAAAAAAAAAAAAATTTGATTTTTAGGATTCTGAAATTTAATCCACTTAGTTAATTTCAATAAAAATAATTTAAGCATGGAAATATAGAACATAATGTTAGCTGCCTAATTAAATCAGGAGATCTCAATTTTACCATAATTTAATTAGCTTTTCTTATTGGAGTGAGTCAGTAGCATTTTGATAGTTTATGCTATGTTTGAAAAATTCATTCTTTATTCTTGGTAAAATAAGTAATAGATGAATACATTCTCAAAAGAAATGAAGCATCCAGATGAATCCATGTTTCCCTAGATCTGTATCAACCCCCCCAATCCTCCCAACCCCCTCTTTCTAAGAAATAAACATTCTCATCAGCTTGGTGTGCATTCTCCTCAATTCTTTTTACGTTTATATGTAAAATGATTTTTTAAAAACACATAAATAATATCAAACTATACATATAGCCCTACAGTTCTGTTTTTGTTTTTGTTTTTACCTTAATGTCTTGGAGAACTTTAGGTTGGGGTTCTTTTTAAAATTTACTCATAGTATTTTCCTGTTACGAATTTGCCATATTTAACAGATCCATACCAACAGTAAACATGTCTTTGTATGTGTTCCTTGTGTGTGTGTGTGTGTGTGTGTATATATATGTGTGTGTGTGTGTATTTTTCTAGGGTTGGTACCTATAAGGAATTGCTCAAATGAAGGAGAGACATATTTAAAATCAATTTATTTACTTATTTTTACATATTTAAAATTTAAACTACCAGGTTGCTCATCCAAAGGCCATATCAATTTATGTTCCCACCAGATTATGAAATTTCCTGTTTTCCACCCCATTGCCAATGCTTGATAGTATCACTCTCTTAAATTTTTGTCCGTCTGATAGTGAAAGTGGTATCTCATCTTACTTTCCATATCCTCAATTTCTAGTGAAATTGAACAGCTTTGCATGTCTATTATTTTGTTGGTTTTTTTCTTTGTTAAGAGTTACTGATATACAGCCATTCCTCGGTATCCATGGAGAGGGTTGGTTCCAGGATCCCCAGAGATATCAAAATTCATGCATGCTCACGTCCTTTATGTAAAATGGTATAGTATTTGCATATAACCTATGCACATTTTCCCATCTACTTTAAATTATCTCTAGGTTACATATAATTCCTAATACATTGTAAATGCTGTGTAAATAGTCGTTATACTGTACTGTTTAGAAAATAATGACAAGAAAGAAAAGTCTGTGCATGTTCAGTACAGACGCAACCCCCATTTTTTTTCCAGAATATTTTTGATCCATAGTTTGTTGAATCCATGCATACGAAACCCATGGATATGGAGGGCTGACTGTATTCAGAATATTTATCCTTATCTGTTATGTATGTTGAAGATACTTTCTTCCTGTTTGTTGTACAAAGATTTTAAGTTTTGATAAAATGGGATTTGGCAACACTTTCCTTTTGCTTTTTATTGTATCTCACTTAGTTAATGACCCCTTTCCAACTCCAGGATTTTTTAGAAAAATGTTTTTTTTTTTCTGTTTTCTCCTTTTTAAAATGTTTAAACATTTAAAGTTTAGCCTTTTAATTTGTCAGGGATTTATCTTTGTGATTGGCATCAAGCACACATTGGATTTCACTCCTTTGTACGTACCTGTGATGCCACAACTTCTACCAGCTCACCACTATCCTTCCTCTTCCTCTTTCCCCCTGTGGTGAACGTGTTATTGAGAACGTACTTCATGTCAGGCAGTGCTGAATTTGTTTTATTAGTGGGCTACTTCAATTAAGCATATTATTTCTGTTTTTACAGATGAAGAAACTGAAGCACAGAGAAGTTAAGTAAGCCCAAGGTCACGTAGTTACTAATAGTAAGCAGTAGAACTACCACTGCATTATTCTGTTAGTTCATTTTTTTCACAGATTCCAACTGCCACATTACCATGTACTGGATTTCCCATACATATTTGTATCTCTTTCTGCACTCTTTTTTCCATTGAGGTATTTGTCTATTCCTGGGCCAGTATCACATGATTTATTTAATACAGCTTTCTAGTATACTTTGATAGCTGGTAGGAAAAATTCTCGTTTATTGTTCTTTTTCAAAAATGCCTGGGCTATCCTTAAACTTTCCTTTTTTCTTTTTAGAAATGAATTAAGTATCAACATGATATTTAATGTCCCTTAAATCTTAATTTCCTCATCTGTAAAAAAGGGATTTAGTTTACTATGTACATTAGAGTGCCTAGCACATAGTTTTGGAATGGTTATGAAGTTTTCAAAAACATTCTTCAGAATACATAAGAAAAATTAAATTTTCTTTGTGGTGGTGTTTAATTTAGACATCAAGTAATTTGCTTAAACTTTTCTCTTTAGTTAAACCTTAAAATTTTTTATTATTGTTGTATATATAATTGTTGTGGATCTCTTTTTCCTAGCTCGTTAAAGTAGAATTTCTATAATCTTGTCTGTCATCTTTTCATATTTTTGTGGTTTGACCAAATAAATTTGTTATCTCAAAGTGTAAGTTGCTTTATAGTTCTAGGGAAAAGTGCATGCGATGGGCAATGATAAGCTTCAAAAGAAGATGAGGGTACCTCTGAGGGCTGATGTATTAATTACGCTGTAGTCCTCTGATTCCTAGGATTGGATCATAGCTTCCTTCCTTACCAGCTTTTCAAAATTCTGCTTTTTGACGTGGCCTGTTATTGCCAAGGAGGATAGAGGCCAACTTCAATTGTGTGGCATGTGAGACTTCTGGGGAACCTGTGGCCTTGGGGCCACATATGGCCTTCTGGGTCCTTGAGTGCGGCCTTTCGACTGAATCCAAATTTTACGTAAGAAACCCTTTTCATAATAAAGGGATTTGTCCTGTGAAGTTTGGATTCGGTAGAGGCGCTGCACTTGGGGATCTGGAGGGCCACATGTGGCCTTGAGGCTGCAGGTCCTCCACCCCTGAAAGTCGTTAAAGTGAGCTTGCTTTCATTGCTGTTGCTAAAAAATTTTAAAGCTATCCTAAAGAGATGTTTTTTTGTTAATAAGCACTATTAGCAGCCGCTTCCTAAGTTTAATATGAATTCTTCTCAGGGTGGTTAAGTCCCTTTTTTGTCAGGTTTTGCCTTCTGTTGATGAGATATGCTTTATTTTCTCTATAAAGTAAGAATTTGAGGTGATGGAAATATTGAAAATAACCTAAATGTTTAGCAGTAAAATGTAATTGTGGTTATAATAAATCATGTCTACCATTTGCTGAGTATGAAAAATGTTAGGCAATGCAAATGTTATCTCCTTCCATTAAAAAACATAAATACGTACATATTTGAATTCACCGTCTTTCTTAGATTAAGCCGTAGCATACAATACACATTTTTTCCCACCTTGCTGTATTTGCCTGATGTGTGCTGGAGATCATGCCATGGTAGTATATAGAGATGTTCCTTATTCATTTTCATGGCTGCATACTACTTTATTGTGTATATTCTTACACCGTTTTCTTAGAGTAGTATCTTAGAGTAGTATGAATATAGTTTGTTCAACCTGTCTTCTATTCTTGGCCATTGCGGTGTTTCCAGTCTTTAGCTATTGTACATGGTGTTAGAGATGAACAGCTTTGTGTATACATCTTTTCATATGTTTGCCAGTATATTTTTTGGGATGGATTTTCTAGAAATAGATTGGCTGGATTGAAGGGTAAATGCATATATAATTTTGCTAGATATTGCCAAAATCTCTTTCATATAGCTCTTACTCTTTTGCATCCTCCTGCCCAATAGATCATATCTCTTCAGCCTTGCCAACATGGTATGTTGTTAGCCTTTTGGATTTTTACCATTCTGATAGGTAGGAAATGATACCTCAATGTAGTTTTAGATTACAGTTATTTTATTATTATCACGTGAGCAGGGTTTAGCATCTTTTCATATGGGTAAGACTCATGTGCATTTTTTTTTCTATAGAGTTCTTGGCTTTCTTTGCTAGTTTTAGAAGCTATCTTTATTTAGGGATATTAACCCTTTAAGGTTATTAACCAGGAAAATGCCCACAATTTGTTGAGTGCAAAAAGCAAAATACTAAGTTGTGTATTCAGTATGAATCCAACTAATAAAAGACAGGAAAGTGTGTGTGTGTGTATGCAGGAAAACAAATGGATGTGTACAGCCTAAATATTACCGGTAATTATCATTGGGTAGTGTGATTATAAGCGATCTTTGTATCTTCTTCATTCTTTTCTGTATTTTTAAGATTTCTTATAATGGTATATTATAAACCAGAAAAAGATATTTAGAAAAAATTAGTAAGACATTGACAAAAAGATGTACATTGAGCGATTATCAAGATGTCGATTAATGTATTTCAAAGCTTCATATTAATTCACAATATTCATTTACTCAACAGTTATACATTGAATGCTTACTATGCCAAGTAATGTTCTAGGTACTGGAGAACTAGTGAACAAAGCAGATATGATCCCTGCCCTCAAGGAGTTTATAGTCTGATAAAGGAAAACGACAGATAGTTTTAAAATATTCACTCATCTATATGTTGTTTATTATTTGTACTGACATTTGGATGAAATTTTCTTTGCTGAGACATATATAAAAGTGTGTGTGTGTGTTCAATCTTGTTACTTCATGAAAAAAGTACACGCATTTCATTGGCAGAACCAACCAAAACTCTAGAATAAGGTTCAAGAGGTGAAAGGATAGGAGCCTTTTGGCAACTTGTACTTTGGAGAAATGCTCTTGGTTTAGGAGGTTGTATGCAGTGTTCTTGAGAAGCTCCAGGAACTGTTGAGCAGGATGGGGAAGTTGAATAAACAGAAAAAAAGTTAGAGATCCCTGAAAAAGACAGGGGGAAACTGGACCAGAATTAGTATGTGGAGCCCTCTTTGTCTGGCTAACTCCTGTCCATTCTTCAGAGGTCAGTTCAAATGTCGCCCTACTGAGAAAATGTTTCTAGGTCCTAAAGCCCAGGTTTGGCACTGTGCATGGTGCTGCTCCATACGGGGCAGTGTGTGTGTGGTCAGTGACTGGTCAGCCCCTGTTCATCACTGTCTCTTTGTCTCGTTCTTCCTAATGCCCTCTCCTCACTCTAATCCCACTCTGTTTCCTTGGTCTTAGCCTTCCTCTTTCCCCTTTGTATATAATCTTCTGCTCTACACCAACCATAATATAATAGGTCTTTCTTAGCTCCTCAGAACAATTGAATTTTGCTTGAGACTTTTGCCTTAGGCTGTTGAATCTGGTTAGTGCAGTTAGTATTAGGGCGACTAACTGTTCCGTTTTGCCTGAGACTTTCCCACTTTTAGCTTTGAAAGAGTCTTGTGTCCTGGGAAACCCCTCAGTCCTGGACAGTTTGTTACTTCAGTTAGCACTAACCCAGGAAACTGCTGTCTCACAAGTGACTTGGATGATTCTGAAATTTTGTTTGCTAGCACTTCCTTGCATTCAGCATGTAAATTTTTTTCATCATGGGCTATAATACCAGATGATGTTATGTCATAGGAAATGAATAATTTCTCTTCCTGTTTCATCTTTAGCCAAAGGCTTTTGAACAGTACTTGAATCTGGAAGATAGCAGACTGCTGAGTCATCTGAAGACGTGTTCTGCAGTGTCTAAACTTCCTTATGATCTCTGGTTTAAGAGGTGCTTCGCAGGATGTTTGCCTGAATCCAGTTTACAGAGGCAAGTATTTCTCTGGAAGACATAGTGAAGGCTTGGAGTTAGAGAAGAATCCTGGCTTTCCATGTGGTGATCCCTCAGAATGTAAATTTGCTTTAGAACAATAGAGTAATTTGAAGCTAAATTCTCCAGCAGCTCCCGTAATAGCACATGATTCTGCTTATTATTGAATATACAATTAGAAAAATTGAAGGCCTTCAGTGTGTCATATGCTGTATGTAATCACATCTGAAACAATCTCCAGGAGTTTATATAAGCATAATTTCCTCTTTCCTGGAAATGTGGTAGACTCTAATCTGGCAGAAATCTTGGTATGTCTTAGTTTCATCGTGACATCTCTAAAGGATCTGAACACAGACAGAGATTGAAGATTCAAACTTAGCTCCTGCCATCAGGGGCAGACTGTGTGATGGGTACTTCCGAGTCCCTACCTTGCCAAGATTTTATGATGTAGTTGAGAAAAAAGGCAATACACAGAGAACATTATAAGATAATACATAACTAAGTGTATAGAGTATAATACCAACTTTTAAGAGATGTAGGAATTATCAGAATAATTATTTTAGAGTGGAGCAGATCAATAACTGGCTCCTTAAGCCCTTAGAAAAGCTTAAGGAATCTGTCCCCAGAATCACTGGCAATGAAATTGAATTTATGTCATTTCATATGCTTCTTTCGTTGTCCCTGAGTATATCATGATTATATTAGCATCGTAGCATATTAGTAAAACACAAACTTTGGTTTAGGACTTCCTTTTTCTTCCCCCCAGAATGTCCGGTTTGTACCTTGGAGGAATGTGCATTTGGTAGATAGCTAGCAGAGCAGCAATTTTTAGTGAACTTTCCTTTTTCCTTCTAAAGCTGATTGTGTCTAGAATAGATTGCAAATGGCATATCTATTTTATTGTTGTTTTTCATGATTATTTCACAATAGTTCTTTGAAGCTTATACATAAAATAGCAGCAATTTGATTTTATTTTGTAATTTGAGATGTCTGGGTAAACATAAATTTCAAGCTCGTGTAATTTGATTATATCTCCTTATTTTTGTAGGGTTTGGGATAAAGTTGTAAGTGGATCCTGTAAGATCCTAGTTTTTGTAGCTGTAGAAATTTTATTAACCTTTAAAATAAAAGTAATGGCACTGAACAGCGCAGAGAAGATAACAAAGTTTCTGGAAAATGTAAGTGTGCTCTGTTTGATTTGATTTTGAATCTAGAAATGAAATCATCTTAGCAAGTTAGATTTTCCTATTTCAGATAAATAATATAGTATATTTTTACATCATAAGAAACATTTTTTTCCTCTGGAAAAATTTGGCTTAAAGTTGGCGTGTGGATTATAGTTTGAGGGATGATGATCTGAGACCCTTGCGTTAGTGTGCCCACTTAGGACCGCAGTCTTACCCTCTGTGTGACTACCAGCAAGCATGTCAGGAAGAAGAGGTGAGATCTGTCACTTTAGGATGAGTAATTTCTGTCAGTGCAAAAAAGGAATCCTGATGTTTTGGAGGATTTTGCAAGCCCTTTCGTTTCACTTACTGTCTCCGACGTAATCCCAGTTGGCTTTGTTCATGTGCTTGAGTATTAACTTAGTGTGTGTTGAAAAAGCCCTAAAAGAAATCAACTTTTCCCTCCCTATGTATTGTAGAGTACCCTTTACCAGGCAAGAAGTAGAATTAAAGAGACTTGTGCCTGAATGATTTTCACAAGATCCCAAATCTATTCTTTTTATTAATAGTCAGTATTAACATTTGAACAGTGGCCTGGTAAATAATAAGTATTAAGTGAATGTGTGTTGAATAAATGAATCATCATCATTATAATAATGAGTGGCTAACAGTGCCAGGCCTGTGCTAAGTACTCTTCGTGGGTTATCTCATGTTAGCCTGTTAACAGCTCCATGAAGTTAGGCTATCATTTCCCCCATTTTAGAGATGGGGATCTGAAACCCAGGTAACTTAGTTAACCTGCCCAGGGACACACAATTGGGGGGTAGTACAGAATTTGAATCCAGGCAATCTGACACCAGAGCTCCTTTCTATGTTCTGGGTGGCATGTGAAACAAGGCTTTTATGCTATCACCTTCTGAAAACTCCCATGGAAATAAGTCCTGTGCCACAGTGAATGAGGGAAGATACTGAAGTTGTAAACACTGAAATTTCACAAAGACTCATTTGCTTGTTCACAGATTCCCCAGGACAGCTCGGATGCGATTGTGAGCAAGGCCATCGACTTGTGGCACAAACACTGTGGGACCCCGGTCCATTCAGCCTGAATGCTCCCCACCGTTGTGAACAGTCTGCCAGGCCCACCCTGAGCATGTTGTTCTTGGGCACATGATGTACTAAACTGATTGAAAATAGCCGTCTTGCTTTGGTGCTCAAAGTGTAATTTTTTTCCAGTAAAATTATTTAATTGAAATACTTGGTGGTATTGTGTTGTAGAGCATCTTTTGGTTATACAGAAATGCAGAATTCATCTCTGAATAGCAATTTTCATCATAGCTAACTGCAACCTCAAAGTCCTGGGCTCACGTGATCCTCCTGCCTCAGCCTCCCTAGTAGCTGGGACTACAGGTGCACCACCATTCCCAGCTAATTTTTCTATTTTTTTTGCAGAGATGATGTCTCACTATGTTGTCCAGGCTGGTCTTGAACTCCTGGCCTCAAGGGATCTTCCCGCCTCAGTCTCCCAAAGTGCTGGGATTACACAGTGAATCACTGTGCCGGGCCCTGAATAGCATATTAAAGGGTGATTAGAAAATAACTCCAAGTTTTTAAAGCAGTTGCGTCAGGGTGGGTGGGTGCGTTAACAAGCAGTGCATAACTAAGCCCGCCCTGCCTCTCTCTAATTAGCACCAAGCTAGTTCCTTTCTAAGGTCTATTTCTGGAATGAGAGCAACTTCCTTTTGTTGACACCTCAGATCTAGCTTTTGTTGATGCAGTACTTGTTTAAATCTAAGCTGACTGCCTTTGAGACTTCTTCTTGCTAAATAGGCTTTTAAAAAGTCCTCACATTTTTTTCGTCTTTGTGCCAGTTGGAATGAAACCACGATTGAACAAAGTGTGCCTAAACTTGCCTACTAAGAGAGAGCACTTGTTTGATATTTTGCTGCACTCGTGCTTTTTCTGATGGGTCATCAGAGGTCGGGTGGACTTCAGGGAGCGTTCTGCCCCCTACAGAAGGAGCGGCGGAAATGGCTGGTGAAGGTTAATAGCCAGTGACCTCAGGGCCATATCGTGCCACATAATGGCCACTCTTCAGTGGACAGTTGCCAGCTTTGAGATGCAAGTGAAACGGGGCCCTTTGTTTCAGACTAGTTCCGCCTTCAGACCTGCGAGATCCTGAGTGGTGACTTGGATTCTCCACCCCCTAAAAGAGGAGGGGGATGATGAAATTGTGGAGTTATAATTCTGAGAATTCATTCCCTCCTAAATGTGTAAAATACCTGTCGAGAAAGAGTTCAGAGAAAGCTGAGTTGTGGAAACCAGCTGCTACTTCCGAACACTGTCATATCCAAGAGGACTTAATTTTTTAAAGCAAAAATACACTCCAAAGAAAAACCTCTTAAAGCAAAACTGCTGCCTACCGTTAATACTTTGAAAAATGACTTGCTGCCAGCTATTTTATTCAGTGATTGCCCCTGTCCCTGAAGAACTTGCAATCCAGTTAGGGATATAAGAAAAAGCACACGCTAAGGAATTCCTGCCCCCAGTGCCTGCTCTCCAGTGATCTTGAGGGATGTGTGGAATTGACGGAGAAGCCATAAAATAAAAATAATGTTACATCTGTTCAGTATATGAGCCACATACGATTTGTACAAAATTTTTGTAAAATAGAGATGATAAAGTCAAGTGATATTAGTAAATGCCAACTCCAGAAAGGGAAAAAAGAGAATTAGCAATCTCTCCACAAGAAGATCATTTCTAGGTCTGTGCTCCTGCTAATTCATCCCTCAAAGCTGAGAGGAGACCAGCGTGCCGGAGAGCAAGTGTGGAAGGCACCACCAGGCGGGAGCCCTGGGGCTGGGGAGGAGTAAGGCTTGGAAGTTCCTCTTACTTACTTCACCATTTTGGCTGGGGGCCAGCCGATCTGAAGTGGGAGACAGTTACTGTACTGCTAAGGGATCTAAAAATAAATTTTCTGCAAGTGTGTTCTGTCAAACCCAGTTTGGTAAAACCTTTCTGGCTCTAGCGTGTGGGGTGGGGATTTGACCAAGTCAATCTGATACCATCAAGAGTTTTCCTTGTTAGAAAACTAATCAGCAGAAGGATATTTTTAAGGCCCACTGTGAGGACAGTGACAGAGGGTCCAGTTTCATTTTCATAATCAGATTTCGTATCAGAATACGCTCGTATTCCCTTGCTTCAAAACATTTTGTCGGGGCACTGCAGAATTTTTCTATGTTAAAACCCAAGGTTCCTGCCACAAAACTGTTGGGGCTAAAATGTGGGATCCTCCCTCTCCCTTGGAAAACTGGAATTTAACTTGATTAAATTTAGTTTCTACTCTTTCCCTTCTAGAGATTCTTCTTAAACACCGAAGGGAGAAGCTCTGAATCCTCTTGACTAGTAGACAGCAGGGCCAGGGAAGCTGGAGCGTGTGGCTGTGGTGTGTGTGTGTGTGTGTCTGTGGTGTGTGCGCGTGCTTTGAGGGGGTGCCTTTTGCCTGATGACGTGGAATTGCCAGATTGTGCGTACACAGGCTTGTGTGCATCAAGGCCCTTTTCAGGAAATGGGGTCTGGGCTCACAGGAATGAAGCACTTTGTTAATGGAAAGTTTGCTTGAAAATCACGGGGCATCTCTCAAGTCACACGATGAAAGAGCTCCGAAGGCCTCCTTGCTCTGTGGCTCTGGGTGGCAGACGCACCTGCCCCGTCTTGAATTGCCTAAGTCCTCTGTCATGTGGTCGTCACCTCCCCACTGTGACTCAAGGTTTCTGTTGTTTTCTCTCTCAAAGCGAAGAAGCTGGAGGGAAGTCAGTGGGGATGAGGAGGGTAAACGTAGAGCTTCGACGCCCAGGACCAGCTCAGACCCTAAGACTCGTCTCTTCTTGCGCAAGTGCCCCAGAGACAGCGGCTGCGGAGCTCTGAGGCCGCGAGCAGCAGAGGGGTGCCCCGGGGTCTCCAGCCACGGCAGCCTTTCGGGAGCCTCGCGGGCGGGAGGTGGTGTGTGGGCAGAGGCGGCATCTGGCTCTGCACTGGCATCTGCCAGTGGTCACGGGGGAAGCAGCTTCTGTCTTCAGTTGGGTGTTTTGGGTTTGGAAGGCCAAAGGACGCTCTCCTCTGCCCTTGACGGAGGGAGGGGAGCGTGGGAATTTCTGTATCCGGAGTTGGTGGCGTTCCCTCTGGTGGTTGAAACAAAGAGCCGTTTCTCCTGGAGCCTCTGTGCCAAATGAAACTGCTTGTGGCGCTTCGCTGCCTAGGTCAGCTGTTGCTTATCCAGAGTTGGCGCC